CCGAAGTACTAATAATAGGGAACTTCAGATTTTGCAACGAGTACGAGATTGAGTACGAGTACGAGTTTTGAAACCAGCTTTTATTGTGTTGCCCATACGATTTCAATCCACTTCGTGTTTTTATTTCTTTGATGTTTCGATCTATTCACAGGAATGCAATTCATGATTAATAGCGTACTTTTAAAAGGCCAATTTTAAAACTCGTACTCGTACTCAATCTCGTACTCGTTGCCAAATCTGAAGTTCCCTAATGTCTGTAAAGGAGACTATTTTGAAACAGTTTTAAAGTTAAACCCCTTGTATGTCTCGTAAAAGCAACTTCATCTGGACTGCAAAACAAAAGATTTTTACCCCCATGAATTGAAAAGGGTTTAAAGTACATATGTCTTGTCTACAGTAGGTTGTGATATACCAATGTCCAAGTCTGATTACCAGTTTGGTGCTAGTGGGCTTACTCCAATTGGTCAAAGTAGTAGAGGGTAAGTACACAATGACAACACTTTCTACTTGTGCTATTGGTCAAATGCAGTCCGCAAGATCTTAAAATACCTGTTAAATTTATTGCATGCCATCCTCGGGAGCCCAGGGGTAACCTCAGAAATGAGTGACTGAAAATTGCACTTTGGGTTCCTGAGGATGATCTGCAAGTATCAAATTAAAGTATAGACATTCAGTATGAGATNAAAACTCGTACTCGTACTCAATCTCGTACTCGTTGCCAAATCTGAAGTTCCCTAATGTCTGTAAAGGAGACTATTTTGAAACAGTTTTAAAGTTAAACCCCTTGTATGTCTCGTAAAAGCAACTTCATCTGGACTGCAAAACAAAAGATTTTTACCCCCATGAATTGAAAAGGGTTTAAAGTACATATGTCTTGTCTACAGTAGGTTGTGATATACCAATGTCCAAGTCTGATTACCAGTTTGGTGCTAGTGGGCTTACTCCAATTGGTCAAAGTAGTAGAGGGTAAGTACACAATGACAACACTTTCTACTTGTGCTATTGGTCAAATGCAGTCCGCAAGATCTTAAAATACCTGTTAAATTTATTGCATGCCATCCTCGGGAGCCCAGGGGTAACCTCAGAAATGAGTGACTGAAAATTGCACTTTGGGTTCCTGAGGATGATCTGCAAGTATCAAATTAAAGTATAGACATTCAGTATGAGATGATATTTTCAAAACTTTTTCCCATGTATATGTATATGTAAGATAGCTTCATTTAATGTCATTTTAAGAACGTATGATGCTAAAGAGATACTGCCATACGATGAAATCTTTGCCTATACTTTGGTCCGCCATCTTGGATTTTAAACTTGGAAACAATCCTTTTGAATTATATCCGCACTTGATAAGAGTTTGTGCTCACAGATAAATTCGGATGCTCAAATCCTTTCAAAATTATTGAATTAACTCGTTTCTTTATTAGAATTTCACACTCACTTGACACTGACTTGGATAAAAAGACAAAAGGCTGGCGGACGCCTTTCAAGTCTCCATTCACACCAAGAAGACGAGTTGGATCAGAAAGGGATACTCCATCGACTGCTGGCAAATGGGGATCGCGGGTGAGAATTTACAAACATAATAATCCAACCGCTTCAGAAAATGAAATGCGCGCAACAATGWTTATTTTAGAACAAAGCATTATGGGCCTACAACTTGAAACAGTGAAATCTTGTACAATTTTCATAAAAACCGGATTCGCGCTACCTATGGAAATCCTTGAAAAGAGCCCTGGAATTGAAAGCTTCTTTTTAATGGCACTTGAAAAGCACTCAAAATGGGAAGAAAACTTATGGAAAAATACTTGAAATTTTTTAATAAGATGTGAAGGTCGTTATATCCAATGCGCTCTAAAAGTTGCGGTCCTTGAAAATTGATTTTTTGTGATTAAAAAGGACTGGAAAAGTCCTGGAATATTGTGATGAAAATACAGTTATTATTAAGCTACAAAACTCGTTATAAATGCATTAAATGCGATCTTCGATCTTTTTCTTAAAAGAGACTTGAAAATCCTAGAATTTTGTGATGAAAACATTACGCGAAATCCAGCAAAATGAACAAGGAAGGAATACAGAAAGTTGAAAACCAAGCGAAAATTTGAAAAAATATTATCAAGCGGAACTTGTGAAAGTCTACAAATCTTCGGGAAAATAATGCCAATCTTTGAACGATAGAAGGTTAACACTGGGTTTCCAAGCACGCAGTTAGCTAAAGTTAAAGACATTTATCAATTTGTGCACAATCCTACATATTACATTGGTGTTTATTGGTGTTATTTGGTGTTTATCGACAGGGTCTTATGTCAAGTATAGAAGAAGGTTTGAATCGAGTTATTGATGCTATTACTCCTAAGAAAGGAAGTTTTTCATCTCACGGACCTCGAAAGGTCAAGGTAAGATGGGTTTATCGTATACATATAA